CATCTATGTTCTATAATCATTTCTGTATGTCCCCAGTAAAGATAAACAAACAAAGAAGCCCTTCCAATAAAGACTTACAGTGAGAAAAATAAATTCAGGTACCGAACTTCTCAAAACAACTTTTAAAATTTCCTATCTGTGACATAAGAACTGGAACAAATGACAACAGAATAAAGCTATGCTTTTATTTCAAATTCCGAAGAGGAAAGGGAAAAAAACCCAAACATCTCATGCCAGAATGAGGTACGAGGACATATGGGCAGTCTATCACCTGACTACCAAACAGCAGAACTAAAGCTGACACACGTTTGTTAATCCCGAGAGGTAAAACGCTGCTTTGTCTTCCGGGGGTCGTGCTGCAGATGAGTGCCCGTTACGATGCTGATGCATTTTTCCATGCTGTCGTTCCCCGGGGAATTTGAGTTCCCCACCAGGGAGAAGCGACACAAATCTTTCATCTCTTCTAGGAGTCTTCCATATTCTTGTTTACCAAGTGTGCACACAAGAAAGCCAGCATTAGCAGCACGGCTAAAACAGTTGTAACAAAAGGGTTTCTTCTGGATGTCTGTAGTTTAGTTCAGTTACATTTTATACCAAGACTATTTAGATTGTCAGTGACGGCTTGATCTTGTACCAACAGATCACAGTTTGGTAAGGAATGACCGTAAGGAATGACTAAGGAAGGATAAGGAAATCTAGTGACATGATTATTCGTTACAGACAGCAAGCCCTCTTCAGACAATCTGAGATGATTAAGGGGAGCAACACTTCCCAGAGATCCGGGCATTCTCTAATGTACTTTTATCACACTCCTCCAGTTCCAACAAAACCCCTCGGAGAATTCTAGGTGCAATTTCTCATTATACCTCAGCTGATCCAGCTGAGGAGAAAACCTGCCTCCTCCTTCCAGTCCTGCCGTCCAGTGGTCTCCCTTGTCACTTGTGCAGCACGCTAGTCCAACAGGGGAAAAAAAAAGGTATAAAAAGAAAACATCCTCTGGGTACTGTTTTCCAAACTTCTCTCTCCCTGACACACTGGGCATCTGTTTAAAGGATCTGGTAACGCGAGTACCGAGTGGGAGAGCTGTACGTGTCCCTCCTGTTGACTGTAGAAGCACCAAAGCAGAACACACAGCTTCTTGCTGCGGCCCCTGTTTGTAAAAGGATGGTCCTGCTGCCCTGTTGCATCCTTCACGCACATTTGCTCCTTAGGTGAAAGTGCAGAAATAGTAACAGCCCTGCCTTCATTTAAGGAGGAAAATTAACAGAGACTTACACAATACTTCTAGCGCGCGCTCTCTCTCTATGTCTGTATTTCTGCTACCACAAACACAACATTTTTATTCTTAATCTAGCAACACTCCACACGCTAGAGAAAGTGCCTTTACAGTATCTTTAAACAACTCCACTTACTTAACATGTCAAAACAACACTAACAAATTACTTTATTACCATGAATCAGTACCTTCACATAGTCCTTTTCAGTGTAAAGGACTAATGGGCTTAACTTAATGAGAAAACAAAAATACACAGCAAAGGAAGCATGTGGACACTCCACATTTACTAAGAGAGCTCTAACTGTCCATGATATTGAGCACAAAAGTGCCAAACTGGTGGCAACAGCAGTACCCAGCTAAGAAAGACTATCAAACACACTAGGAACTACAGTAGTTTTATCTCTTAATATTCATACAGTGTTTCTCAAATAACATGTCAGCGGGGACCTCAGCAAAGAGCAACTGGATTTTTACTGTTTCGTTTGAACAACACTCTGAGCAAGTCTTGGACAAATTCTCAACAAGTTCACATTTCACCGCTAATCTGGGTATCTTGTGTGTGAATCTGTATAGGACATTGTGTAATTTTATTCATGGTATCACAAATTTTAAGACAAAAAGGAACATCTCATCATTTCAGTATGAACTCTTCAAGGAAAGAGGCCACAGAATTTTTCCCCATTATGCATATCCTTGTCAAAAACTATTTGTTTTTTTAGTGCTTACCTTCTAAAATGCACTCTGTCTTATTTTGAGGGTATAAAGATGCTCTCCTTAGAGTTTTTCAGATCTTTCTCTTAGTCACCCTCATCTTGGTTCTGAACACATCTGGATTCAATATTCATTCACAGAGCTCCACTACTCCTTATACTGCCACATGAGAGAGCTCCTTACATTTCCCCATTAAGGTTCCTTCTCATGGCAAGGCAATCCCATACCCCTCAATATCCACACAGGTTCTCAGAATCTCATGTTCTAAAGCCATTCTCTCCAATGCTGAAAATATTATCATTTTTTTCCTCTACTATTTCTCCAGGATGTAAATATTCATTTTACTATTAAATATTAAAAGAGAAACTGGAATGGAACTCATAATTCCCATCTCCCTATGCTAATTTACTTCTCTGTATTCTTACTGTGCATCTTGAGAGGCTGCAAAGAAACCATTTTCGGCAGAACTTGACTAGGAACCCTCAAGAATTACAAGCATTAAAGAACCTAAAGATTTTAACTCAATGGGTCTCAAAATTTTCAGTTCATGGAACCCTAACATTTTCCAGAAGAAGCATGGAGTCCTAAATATCAAGAGAAATGCTGTGTCCTATTCCCTTAACAGGTTGGCTGGGTTTTTTTCAGTAACCTTTTGTAGACTCTTCCAAAGCAGTCCACAGATACCCCAGATCTGCAAACAGGATCCCTTTAACTACTATTAACTTCTTATTTAAACTAATACTACTTCTCCATCTCCCATTAATCTATCTGAACGCTTCATAAGTAGGTTTAGCACTAGAGTGGAAGAAAGCTGCCCAAGTAAATCTGATATGCAAATATTCAACATCAACAGAAAAATATAGGTAAAAAAAGTAAAAGAGGAAAAAAACAGAAGGCGGTAGCAAAGGATTAGCTCCAAAGACCTTACAAACAGCTTCTTGCAAATGGTGCTCATCATCAACAGCAGGAAGCCAGACAAGCAATCAGTGGGACTGCTCAATAACAAAAGCACAAAAAGGAAACTCAAGGATAATAAAGCCACAGCAGAGATTCAGATTGTTCACCCTGGTCTTTACTGCTGAACACACTGGAAAGATACCCAAACCCTGTAGTAGACAAGTGAAAGCTAGATGATTTAACGTAAATGTGCAGGAATTATTAAATGTCAGTAAGTCACCAAGACTGGATGACAGTCAGCCAGGAGTGCTGAAGGAACTGAAAGGTGAAAGCACAGAGATGCTGGCCAAGGCGTACAACCCATCACTACGAATGGCCACATGCCCAGGAGACTGATAGATTGCCAACACAACTTCAAACAAAAAGAGGCTCTAGAAAGGATCCCATAAACTATCTGAGAGTTTGACTCCTGCTTCTGGTAAGTCACCAGAGTCTACAGTAAGACCACAGAGCACATGGATCTGTTGGGAAAGAGCCATCACAGCTGCTGTGAAGGGAAAGTCTGCCTCACTGAACTAATGGACTTCTACGAGAGGGGGGATAAACATGAAGGCAGAGGGCATCCAGTAGGTATAATGTGTTTGTCAAGGTTCATCTCCAAATACAATTAAAGAAACTAGGTTGTCACAGGATTGGAGAAGAGTCTGAAAGTTGTGTAAGGAAGAGGAAACAAAACACAAAGCTTAAAGGTCACTTTTCAGCCTAAGACAGACAGGAGATCCCCCAGGGATCCCTGCTGGGATCGTTTTTATATGACATCTTCATCAATGACCTGGACAGTGGTGTGATCCATGAAACGTTAAAGCTTACAGATGATACTACGCTGTAGTGGATAGTCAAATGCCGTGTCAATGGCACAGAAAAACTGAAGAATCTCACAGAACTGAGGGAGCAAAGGTGGCAAATGAACATTGGGTACATAACTGTGATGTAATGTATCTAGGGAAAAAAAAAATCTAAACTATGCCTCACAATGTTTACCTTAGAACCACAAATTATAGTTTAGTTGAGCCCTGGAGTTACCACTGACAGCTCTACGAAATTGTTAAGTTCATGTACAGCAGTAGCCAAAACAAACTGACAAGATGTCGGGCATGTCAGAAAGGATACTGACAAGAAGAGAAAGGACGTCATTTTGCTGACACAGGAAACACTGCTGTGCCCACATCTTCATTACCCTGCACAGTCTTGTCTCCGCATCTCAGGAAGAAGGTAATGGAATTATGAGAAAATATAGAGAAGGACAACAAAAATGATCCCGGGGATGGAGCAACCGCCTTTTCTAAGAGACAATGAAAAGACAGGGGCTCTTGTTCACAGAGGAGAAGGCTGACGTTTACAAACTCATGAAGGCAGTAGGTAAATGCAGAAGTGCTGTTCACCAAATTCCACAATACAGTATTTACGGCACTTGGTGAAACAGGTCCATAAACAGATAATAGAAGGATCACAGAGAGATATACCATCTAACTTTACTAATACAACAGTTCTGGACACTGGGAAAGCACAAGGTGGATGAAAGGCAAGAAAACGGCGAAGCTTGCCAGCTCTCCCTAAACAGCATCTCCTCTGCCACTGCTGCAGACAGAATACTGGGCAAGATGGGACACTGGTACGACTCAGCAGGCTTTTTCTTATGTTACGATTACTTGAAATAAGTTTTCCTGGTTTGTAAGCCAACTGCCTTGCAACAATTTAAAAGCATGATTTCTTCTCCTCTCTGCTGTACACATGAAGAACTCCTCTTTTCTTATTTAGCCTCAGTAATTGCAATTCATTCAAGCTATACTCATAGGTCACACTCCCTAAATCACTGATGACTCTCATTGCTGGTCTCTGTTCATAGTCTTTGTAACCTTGAACTGCAGCATCCAGAAACGGATGCAGTTGTCCAGCTAAGACCTTAAGTGCTCAATGGAGCAGAAGGATGCATCGTACAGGCTCTATTATCATTTATGCATGCCTGTGTTCGCCTTCTTCACAACAGTGAGATATAATTAATATCCAGCTTGTGACCCACAGTACCTACTGGACTTTTTTCTGAAGAGCTACTTACCTAGCCACCCATTCTCCATCCATTTCTTTGTAAAGTAGATCATTCTAGAGTACATGTCAACTTGCTCCCCCTGAATAGCTTCCAGCTCCTCACACACCACATCGATAACGTTCTGAGTTCTAATTCCATCCTCCAGCACACTTGCAGTCCCTTTCATCTTGGAGACATCTCAAAACATTAATGATCGTTCTCTTTTCCATTACCTCATCAATGAAAGTACTGCCTAAGCAGAAGTCAGGAAACAGCCTAACAAAATTCTACTCCATATTTACTTCCTTTTTGATACTGAACCTTTAATAATTACTCAGCACAGTTTTGTAACAGTTTTGCTCTTAGAAACAAGCCTCACAGTTGTTCAATCTAATGTGTGTGTCTCCTCTTTCCTTATGAAAATGGTATTCACAGAATATCAGAAGCCTGACTAAATCCAAGACACGACATCCAAAGCTTCTCTACTATACACAGACTGCTACCTTGTCAATAAAAGGAAATTTGATTCATTTGATACAATTTAACTTTGCCAAATCCACAGTGACTCATCTCATTATTTTCTAGATGTTCCTAAATAGTCTACTTGTTCTAGTATTTTCTCTTAAATTGTTGTTAAGCATTTTGCCATATTAAAACACATTTTGAACATAAAAACATGAAAAGCAATCCACAGAATTTTCTCAGTGTTATTTATTACATTACAGTCTATGTTGTCTATAAATTTTATCATCAATTATTCTGCATTTGTTTTCTAAATTACTGAACCTGTCAAATATAACCGGTCATAAAACTGATCACTGCAGAATCCAAGAAGAATATCATCACACACATTCATCTCCCAAAATTTTAGACATACCTTCCAGTTTGACTTTGGGTTATATAAAAATAGGAAGGAAAAAAAATGGAATCCAGCTTAGTCTCATAAAATTATGAAGGAAGAAACAAAGAACCCAGTTTAGTCTCAAAGGAAGCAAAGGCTTTAGTAAAGGTCTTATTCCTTTGTGTACAACAGGCCACATGACCGATCTTTAACTCTGACATTATCACAACATAGCAAGAGTGTTCCAGAATAATGGCATAATTAACTCAAAATGCCCACTGCAAATATAAAAGAAAAACACCTTCAAATATTCAACAAATAGCACCTTGCCACGACTATTGTTATCTGCTGCTGCCAATCAGTATTGTTATGGTTGTACAAAGACTCCAGTGCACCAGACTGTCGCTAATTATGTATATTCAAGTGATTAGCAAGCACTTGTTGCCTCGTTCACACCACCCTCCAAACAGCAGCCTTTGAGAGGAGAATAGACTGCAAATTTATTGAGAGAACACTGTTAATCCTTTGGGGAGAATGTAAATGTAAACAGGACTACTCTACATCAAGGTGCTTTGACAACAAAAATCATCTGCATAAACACATGCTCAACAACAAACAGGTGTTCTATTTCACAACTAGCGCCCATTTGATGCTTTCAAGTAAGCATTATGCACAAACTGTTAGAAGTACTTTGAAACCAGCTGCAATTACTATAATTAGCTGTTTTCCTACACTTTGGGGGGTTTTTTTCCCCCTGTACCTGTTCAGTATTGTGTTGGTTGCAATCTGTAAACTCAAGTGAAGCTAAGGTTCTAGCCTCCTGTTTAAAGATTACTTTGCTTTCAGTTCAGTATGCACTAGGATAAGTCCATACTTATGATTGGTGATAAGACAATGTTTGCATTAAATAACTTAACAATCCTACCAATGTCAGGTCACCCATCTAACACTCGTCATGAGTAGGAAAACAAGGACAACTGCCAAAATAGCACCATAAAAATAGTAAGCCTTCAATGTTCAGGATTTCCCTTTTTTACAGAAATGTCCCCAGGAACTAACAAGATTTATTTTTACTAACAAGAACTTTACTCCTAGTTTTATCAGACAATGGGTGATAGAGTCTTGCTTGTAGACCGCTACTCCTTCTAGTAAGCTCCAGGTAAATGTTTTTTAAAATTATTTGGTCAGAATGCACATGCTTCCTTCTGTTTAATGAGTACAAAATACATACAAAGCACCTCTACATTATTTTTTATTCCTATTAAAATGATGTATTCAAGTGTCTTTCTACTCTTGCCTCGCACTCAGCCTTTCGTGGCATCTACACAGCTCTTGGTTTTCAGCAGTTCCAAATGCTCCACCACAGTGATGCATTTCTATAGGTGAGTTCAACATGAAAAATAAACAAGTCTAGTGGCCTTTTCTCCAAAGCCAAACCCTAATGTGCTAATTTCATAAGCTTGGCAGTGCCACCTATAGATAGCTAAAATCCGATTCTCCTACCTTATGATTTGCCAGATTTTAACCACTGAACTGAATAATTCCATATTCAGCACCTGCTGAGAGAAGATCTTTTTCACAAATGAAAAGCTTAACAAGCAAAAACCGGGACTGCCCAGGGAGTAAGAACACAGCTGGGAGGAAGGGCTAAAGATGATAAATACACAGTGCTAGAAGAAGGACAGGCTACAGGCGACGGAAAGAAAGAGGCTCTTTCTCCTGGGGTGAAACAGGCAGGAAAATCTATGATACAGCACCTTTCCAAAACTGGAAGACAGCCTACTGTTGACAGGTTAATTTGACATCCTCTATGAATATCAAAATGTACCCAAGGTCCCGCTAATGCTTTTTCCATCTCTAACAGAAGAGTTCTATTTTTGTGGATGTTCACACTGGCTGATTTACAGAACTCCGCAAATTTTCAGCAATGTCCACTACTTTCTTCCCACCGACTTCTCTCAGCTGGAAATTATACAAAAGCTTCAGTTTTATTGGGCCAGACAAGCAATACACACTGTACTCATATCAGTTGTTCTCCAAGAGACCAAAAGAATTACTGAAAAGATTAATAAAAAATTGTAATATTACAAGATCTCGCCCAGAAATGCAAGAAGCATTGTATGTCTAGAAAATTCCAGGAGAAACTAATTTTTGGGCTTCTTCCAGAGAGACACCATCTTTTAAGAACTCCAAACTGAGGATGACAGACCAATAGCTACTCGTTTTCTCTGTTAGCTCTTATGGCAAAAGATGTATATAGTGAACCCAGCAGTTTCAATTGTACAAGCAGTCGCCACAATGACATGGTCATTTCTTTTTCTCTGCTGTTTCTCTCTTGACAAACAGAAAAATCTGGCAAGTTATCAAAAAAAAAAACATTACTATAGCTACAGCTTGTATATTTAAACACGGGATTCAGAATTACCTTAAGCTTTTAATGGACACTAACAGCTGTAAATAAGAGAATGTTGTCTTGTATTAGAGTCATCTTTTTGATTTGTATTCCTAGCTCTTACACTGTAATCCCAAATCAAATTTCACAATACAGTAGCTCCCAGACACTGACAAAACGCAAACGCTGCATAGCATCAGCGCTACTGTTCCTTTGACCTGCAGTAAGACAATTCGAGGAGCTCGACTTCTCTTTTTGGTATAGGGTATTTTTTTGCATCAGTTTAATTCCCTGAACCAACACTGCTCACTTAGATGAGCACTGCTGCTACACCAAGAGATGTAGCTGAAATGCATAGAGAAAGGTCGCAATTAGCAGCCCCTTCCTCCCCCTTCTCTCTAGAGAATGTTAGACCCAAACATTAGTTTAGTTAATCTAAGTATACCATCGTCTCTCTGTCTCGGCACATGAACAGATATGTAATGGCTTAAGCTAACCCTTCTGATTTTGCAGTAAGATAGACTAGGAGTTAGTAATTTGTTACAGAATTTCTGATGGGAATGGTAACTTCTACTGTCACTACAAGAAGGGGTTGGAAGGGGGAACAAACAGCTGTGAAATGCTTGAACAGCTCCAAGTAGATACACAAATACGGTTCAGTTACTTTATTGTCAAATAAAAGTAAGCTATATGCTAAACAGAATACATGACTATAAGGGTGTTTACGACTCATTCATATGATCGCTACGCATAAAGTTACATGCGGAAATATCCGCTTTCTGTTTCTTTAAGACTCTTTGTGAGACTCAAAGGCAGCTAATTAGGAGAAATACTGTATTGAATTCCAACATAAGGAGGAGTTTAGAGCCTGGTATCCCATTTACACACACAAGCATGTACTGTTTCTGTGTTTCAAGCGAAAGCTATGAGAGGGAGAAAAAGAAGAGTACATAACGGAGGTCACTATCAGCATTTGCAAAGAAATAAACATTATTTGATAAAAGTATTAAAGCTTTACAAACTAGCAGCATCCCCAAAAATCTATGCATATGTTTACAATCACTTTATTACAGGGCATATAGCATAGAATCATAGAATCATATTTAACCATTCATACCAGATCAATAGGAAAACATTCTAAAGAAATGCTTTGAAATTGCAAGTTTTAAGTGAATCAATCAAAAAAATATCTATACTAATCAGCCATGGGTTCCAGAGAAGAACGAAATGAACATAATTTTAACATGAGACCATTTTGAGTTTTACAGCATTACAGTTACCCCTGCTTTACTGCATTTCATTACATTCTTCTCTTAAAAACCTCTTTTCTGCATCCAAAAATGCTGCATCCAGATTTTTCATTTTTGGCATGTGTTCTGATGAAAGGTGAGATCTTCCTAAAAACAAAGCTGGGCAGAGGAGGACAGAAATTTTTGTATCAAGCTAATGTTCTTAGCTAACGCTCCTAGGAAGTCTCGTATCAGACTATTGTTTTAAGACCATATTCTTCCCGCAAAACATTATATAGTGGTTACAAGTGCATTTTATCTGAATAGGTCAGATCTGACTGCTGGGTTTCCTCAGGAAGACTGGGGATCTTTAGCATGGACCAGCTGCTCCTTCCAAAAGCTCACATAAGCAAGCAGGGTGGTGAAGTCTGAAGCAGACGATCTGTCCTTCCTTTCAGGACTCCAAAGAGTACTCAGTTAGCTAGCGTCCATCAGGAATGAAAAGGTAAGTGATTAGCATGGGCCAAAGCATCACACCTACACAAGTTTTGCATATACTTCTCATCAGTTTGAAGCTTTCCTGTTATAGAGAACTGACCTGCAATGCCAGAGAAATTATGGTATTTATTAATATGCTGAAGAAACCATGAGCAATCTAACTGTGTTCAACACTCTCCAAATGAAGTAACCTAGCCCACAATTACAGGCTCTAAGCTTTGGTGACT